GAAAGTAGGCATGTTGCTGGAGGTAGCTGTTGAAACAACTTGTAGTGGAAGTAGCGTAATTGTGGAAATCCCTTCCCAAAAAAAAGTAAAAGGAGGAGCTTTTCATTGTTTGTCAAAGGTAAGAAACGGATGGAATAAAGCAAGAATAAGAAGTTAAGCCTAGTGGCTCTTATTTATATGGCGTCCATATCCTCAGGCTTGACCTAGTTTACACTTGTCTGTCAGTAGCACAGCTCATCTAATTTTAAAAGATAAGGTATGCTTGAAAGAATGTCTCTCTGCCCAAAGAACCTGCAGCATGATTTCATTAAAAGCTCGCTATAAATCTTTACAAGATTTCCATTATTCCTCAGGCAGGCTGGTCTTTATGTGACTGAGAAAGTGGAGGCATGATTGATTTTGAGCAGCACCTATTACATCCAGATCAAATGGTGCTGATTCATTATATCTGTAAATCAGGTTCTTGACAGCTCAGATTATGAACCCCAAATTTCTGAGCACTTGCTGCAGTGTAATCTTCTGTGACTCCTATCCTGAAAAAGAGAAGCACGTGCCACTCTGGCGTAGGTTGGTGCATGTCTGTTGGCATGGTTGGAATGGCGTTTTATTTTGCTTCAGTGGATGGACCATGAATTTAGTGCCTGCCCATCATGAAATTGCCTTTTTGCTGAACTGAGAAAAATGTAGCAATTTCTTGGACTTACATCTAAAACTGGTTTCAGATCACCAGCTTGTAGAAATTGAATTACTGCCTGCTTTTTAGTGAACATGACAGATTCTCTCGTAAGAGTAAATCAGTGTCCAGAATGCTAGCACAGCATAATGTCCCAAATTCTCATCCAGCTACCTTGTATCTCTGAAGCCTTTTTCAATACCTTGTTAATTGCCCAGCTTTCCATTCCATCAGTTGGTATTCAGGAGAATTTTGTAATGGCAAATGATTCTTTATGAGACATTGCTACACTGCAAAGTAAATGACTCACAGAAATTACTCTTGTTTTAAATGCTTGGGTTTCAACTTTCTTCCCCATGGAAGGGCTTCATGGCCTTTGCTATGGTATTTTTCTACACCTTTGCCCAGGAAAGCAGGGTTTGGCATGAAGCAGGAGTTGGCTTGAACCAACACACCTGAGGGTTGGGAGAAATTTCTTCCGTTGGAGTGGCTCAGTTAGGAGCAATGAAAAGCCTTGGCCTGGAGGGGGCACTGGCTCTTTCCGTGGTAGCTTGTTCCCTTTCTTCATGGTTCTTTAGTCAGACAAGGACAGAAAGTGAATTTGCTGGGCCTGAGTGGAGACCCAGCTTGCCTGAGTCTTCAACAGGTGTGGCTGGTTTGGAGTCTGGACATGCAGACTGGTGGCCCAGATGGCTGAGAAGCCATCAGGAAATAGGGTAGTAGTTTGAATGTTCACTATGTCCATTTTAGGATGCAGATATTTGAGACTGAAAGTGATGATTATTCCCCTGGACTACTCTATATTTGTGCAAGTTTTCCTCCAAGCTTTGAGTGTATGTTTCAGGGCTCATTCACCATAAAATTTCTGCCCATTTGTGCCTATCCTTTTTATTTCTTTGCTCGAGCAGGTGCTAGAAGTTCGTAGATTTAGAGGTTCTACCAGGGCATGACTGGGAGAAAAGCTTAAGTTGGTGAAAGTAGGGTGCGATAGTGATTCAGATCCCTGTTTTTTAGGTCAGCCCATTGTCTGCTGTCACTTGGGCAGAGTCCTGGGAGTTGTGACAGTTCTGTTTGGGGCTCCCAGTTGCTAGGTACCTGCTGATCGCTTTAATGAAGATAGTCTTGCTGCAGTAGGACTCAGACTGCAACCTCCATTTTGTTATAGGTCCTAGTCTTCAGATTCAAGTCGTGGCTGGCTGGTTTGAGACAGGTTAGTAAAGACTTGAGATTCTCCTAAGAGGTCAAGTGAGGTGGTACTCAGGCGAACAACAGTTGTTTGGAGGGAAGACAAATTTGAGCTATTAGGTATACCAGTGCTATACCAGATGTTGTCAAAGGCACTGATTGCCTGAAAATTAGTGTATCCCTGAGGACAGTGAGAGAGAGAAAGGTGTGATCACATAGGAAATATTTAGCTAAACCAAAGTTCAGTCTCTCTAAGAGCATCAGTGACTTTCTTGTTACTTAGAAATTAACCCATTTGGTGTCTCAGAGGAATTGTATTCATTTGAGCTTGTTGATTAGGAAGTGCATTGCATTAGTGAATGATACCATTTAGTGAAGAGCTGAGCAAGTGCCAGGAGACAAACCCAAAAGGCCACACTGCAAAATGTACTTTGTTCATTTATTTAATGAAACCAAATCTTTTATTGAGAATGTTTTAGCAGAAATGCAACAGAAAATGGAATGTTTTATTTAAATGAAATCTGATAATGAAGCAATTTTCTATGGCACTATCTTTTCTTGTAGGTCTGATGGTGGTGATACTGAGGGATGAAGTGATAAAATGGGGTGGTAGGGCACATATTCAGCTCAATAGTGTTAAGAGGGCTGAAATTTTTATTTTATTTTATTTTTTTTATAGCAGTAGTATCAGTTGTAATTTAAAGTCCTTGAAATTCTGCAGTTCTGATTTTCAGATCACAAGAATGAAGAGTAACATGCCTCTGTAGTCCTTCGTCCCTACTAGTAAGGCTTTCAGTTCTTCAGGGTAAGAAATCACTGGCACACATTAACTTCCAGCTAATACGTAAGGAGTAAACTATATTAATTACTGAGTTCGTCTGTCTTGAATGCAAGCTGATAGTAATCAGATGTGAAAAAGAAACCTAGTATGGTTCATTGGGTCCAGTTCATGTAGGATGTGTTGTATACTCATTTGTTATGAGCAGTAGGTACTTTAGATTCTGTGTTGTCAAACACTTTTTTTTTTTTTTTTCCACTCCTCATCTTCCTCCCTCCCAATCCTCTCCCTGCTAGGAGCTCTAGGAAGAGCCCAGGAGCTCAGAGGTGTATAATCCTCAGCACTGACGGAACAACACAGGAAATGTGTGTAAGGCTAACGGCTGAGAGAAACATGCTTCGCATCATCAGCAATTAAATCTGATGGGTAGCATCATTGGAACCATGGGGTGCAGCAGTTCTGTACCTGACAGAAGGTCAGAGAAAGGTGAGTACCGCTTTTGTCTTCGGGGTCAGTGGTGGTTCTCTCTCTAACACCAAAAGTTTGCAAGGTAATGTTTCCCTTCAGTCCTATTGTCAAACTACTTCAGAGAAAAATATTTTCTTCTTTTTAAAAGAGTGCGTAGCTTTTAGTTGCTGCCCGAAATCAGAGGCAACTGTAGACCACCCCTAACATCTACAGGTGGAGTTGCAAAAGCTTCACATCCTCTGGGACAGAAGCTATATTTCAGATTTTTCTGTGCTCAATCTGTCACTGGCATAGTGTGTGAGGTAAGGAATCAAGGGGGACTTTTTAACGGCCTCTCACAACACAGGATTCCTGGGCAAGCTGCCCTAGTTTCCCTGCTTCTGGGTGACCTCTATTATGAAAAAAGTGTAATAAAGCAGAGCTATTGCAATAACTCTCAGAATCAGTTTTCTGCCATACCAAGAGCCTGGCCTGAAATTCTTCCTGACAGTCACTGAGGCTGTCAGCTGAAAGTCTCCATGATGCCTAGTTAAATGTTCATTAAAAAAACTAGTGCATCATCCCGCTGCTTTTAATCATACTACACCCTGGTATGAACACACCAGGCTTTGCACAAGCAGGTGGGTTCTAGGATTGGCTCAGGCCTTTGTTCAGACCCTTTGTGTTCTCTCTCAAGGTTTTTCTTTAAAATGCAATTTACAGGTCTGGCAAGAGCCAAGTTACATAGCACTGTAACATAGCACGAGATTATTATGCTGAACAACCATGGTTGAAAAGGAGACTTCTTTTTGGCTACCAGGCCAGGACACAGGTCACAGAAAACTGGTGACTAAGAAGCAGGAGCACTTAGTCATGGCTTCAGGGATCCAAGCTGACTGGTTTAAGGGTAGCTCTCAGCTTTGCCTACACACTTGACTATCAAAGCATCATCAGTGGAAGCAGAATTGAGACATCTGGAGTCCAAGACCTACCTGTAACTGGGAAGTGGTCCTTCCTCTTTGGGTTTTCATGCCATGCATATTTGTATCTTGCAAGGTCTCGGAAATGAGTTAGTTTGGAATATTTTTGAGGGTGCAAAAACTTGGAGCAGGCGTGAGGAGATGTACTCTTTCTTAGTCTACAACCATCAATACACTTTGGTGTGGAGCCAGGCTTCGCTACCCCAAAGTTGGCTTATGATTCTGTGTGCTTGTTTAACAATATTTTGTCCTCTCCAGTTGCTGGGTGGTATTTTCTCTGCACTTCAGCAGTAGTCAAATGATGCTGAATCATGATTCTATCTGCAGCCTGAGGCTGTACATCCCTCTAGTGCATTAATAACATGAATTTAAGAGGTGCTTGCTGGTGTAGAGACCTTTTGCAGCTTATAATTTCTTTTACAGATGCAATTTAGCATAGTGTGAAATTATTTTCTGATCCAGTCCTGAGAATAACAGCACTGCAATAAGTACAATAAAAAAAAATACAGGAAATATTCCATTAGATTTGCAACATTAACCATAGTGGTTGATATATATCTGTTTTATGTGATACCAGTGGAACTGTGCCGTGTTCAGTGCTCAGGACCATTAAGCAAGCCATGGGGGCTTTAGTGGAAAGTTTAATGATTCTAATGCTGGAAATCAGTTTCTGTCCTGGTGACTGTGCTTTGCCCCTTAGGTACTCTAAACAGAAAGGCTGATGACAGCCTTGCTGTGATCTATCAGGCTTTCAGGTCTACGGTGGTGGTAAATTCCGGAAACAACAGAAATTAAGAGAGATCTTAGAGTTCATGTAAGTTTTGAAGGATGCTCTTAGTCAGGATTACATTTCTTTCAGGCAGGAGGATTTTCCTAGGATAGATGCAATATAGGGTTTAGTTTCCTTTTTTTGGTGTTTTTTTCATGAGTTTGTAGTGCTGTTCGGTGATGTTTGTGTCAAAAACTGGAATTTGGGAGAATTTTGACTCAATGTTGTTTCCATGCATCTCCTCATCTGTTCATCTGCTCAGAAATTAGCTCTAGTCCTTGGGAGTTTCAGCAGCTAAGATCAGTATATTCCTTTGGTCCTTGTACCTTCAACAGAGTTGTCCTGCAGCTGCTTTGACTTGTTCCCCCAAGATCTGAAGACTAAAGACTTCTTTTGTGTGTCTTATGTGGAGCTATTCAGGGTTGAGTTCCTTATGAAACTCCTTGAAGTGAGGTGTTAGCTGCAGGGCTGGAGGCAAAGGCCTTACATTTCTGGCCCTGTCTACTTATTACTGGTATCCTGTTGAGAGTACAAGGAAAAAGAGGTAAGGAACCAGCCAAGAAAGAATTATGTTCACTTTTAAGTGAGTGAATGTGACATCTCTTGAGAGCAGCCTCCTACCTTATTCTATTTTTTGTTGCCAGGCAAGAATGTGGTGGTGGTGATGGGATTGTGTTGGGAAAAGTGTAGGATCCAATACTCCTGTACTCTGTCTTCCTCTCACTGTTATGCAGTGTTGAGTGTAACGCCTCTTGACTGCCTCTGTTAGTGCTCTGTAGGGCTAAGCATGTTCATACAGAGTCCTCTTCTGACCATGATTTAAGCAAATGACTAGCTTTGAATTTGCCATTATTTCAACTGCTTGATCTTCAAGACAGTAGTTGCATTTTGTTCTGATTTGGTATAGTAAATGATGTCCTCCTCTGGATGATAAATTTATACTTACATATGCCATAATTATCTGAAATGTGCATTTATTCCTCTCTAGCTCATCTTAAAAAAGCAGTTAGCAAGTGACCGAGGAATGCTTTTCTCAAAGTCAGTTGATCTTTCTGATAAGCACCCTTAAAGCATTAGAGAGTCACAGCTCTGTGAAACAGCAAAAGATAAACTGAGCTCATCTGTTCCTCTTCTCCTAGGCTCATGATTATTTCAGGCTGAGCAAAGCCCCTCGAGTCTTCTGCTTTCACTCTTCCCTCCAGGTTTATCTGAGCTGCAGTGATCATCTGTGATGCTGAAGGCACACCTGCCTGCCTCTCCTCCCATCTGCCTGCTGCCAGTGCTACTGCTGCCCCTGTTTCACACCCCAGCTCCTTAGAGCTGCTGTCCTTTGGGTACTGGGAGTAACAGGAGGAATTAGCATGGTGGGGAGGGATCAAATGGGCATCAGCTCCTGGAGCTGCTGTCCTCCTGTACAGCTCTCACTGGTGACCACTCTTCATGCAACACCAACGGCTTGACATAGTGAGGAGCTCTCCCCACAGGACAGTGCCCGCTCCAGAACTTCTTTGTGCCACCAGATGTTGTTCTGCTTGATACACTTTTATCTGAGCAGCTAAGGGAATGTGATCTGTTTGTGGCATGACTGGGGCCTGTAGGCAGCAGGGCCTTCACTCTGGGCTGCAGTCTTGGTGGTTTTAAGTGAAGTTCCCAGCAGCTTTCCAGACTGGGACAATAGTAGACACAACTTCTTAAAGTGCAAAAGCAGCATGTGTGTTTCCATTGTCTACATCCATGTGTACTCCATTGCCTTCTGTTTTGACAGTCATTAGAGCTGCTATCCTCATCCAGAACTGGTACCGCTTTACAAAGGCCCGGATAGAGATGAGGCGCCGCTATGCTCTGAGTATCTTTCAGTCAATCGAATATGCTGATGAGCAAGATCAACTACAGGTTTGTAATCTTCAGTTCTTCCTGTACAGGCAGTTGTGTTATCCCCAGAGGATTGAAGTTGCACAAACGAAATGGGTATCGGGTTATTTCTCCCTGTATAATAAAACCACTTCCCTGCCTCACACATGAACTTGTCCTGTGTAAGTAGCAGGACAACATTCTGCCTGTACAACCATACCTAAGTTAGAAGTTCATGTAGCACAGCTCTGTGAGCCAAGGATTGCAGGTCATCCCACTATGGGTGATCTTAACTGTGTCTGTGAGGCAAGATACGTGCTACAGAGATACCTGTGTCTCAGCAGGTCAGCCCAGGCTTCCTTTAGGGTCAATACAGGGAATTAGGAACTTCTAGGGCTTTCTGTTCATCCTAGCATCAGTGTCCAAAGTCAATTCCATAAATTGTAGCAGTATCTTTCTGTTGACTACAAAGGAAGTCTAGGCAAATAGTATGGATGATGGGCGAGATGAATTACATCCAAAAATGTCAGCAGCGTTGAAACAGCCCAGGAACTTTATATGTATTCATATAGTGTCAATCTGCTAATTGATAGCACAAGGAAAGGAGTAAGGCATTTTTGTAGTAGGACACAAGTTGTGTCATTATTGCAGGCTGATGCTATGGGAACATACAGTTAATGCTTGTAAGATCCCCTAAACTGATCAGTGTGTGTTTGTTCTTTTCTTTTCTTTACTCAGCTATCCAACTTTTTTACATTCATGTTGGATCACTGCACTCATCCTGATTCAGGTAAGCACAAAAAGCAAAGTAATGTGGAGATTCTGTTTGAAGAACCTCATGTGAGGAAAGTTAATTGTCAATGTGATGTTTACGGCTTATGGTACTCAGCAGGGGCTGAGTTTTGATTTCCCCAATACTATAGTGAGAATTTTCTCCTCTAAGTGTTGACTCTGTTGTCCTTAGGAGAATACTCAGAGGTGTTCAGAGTGCTTTCTTATACGTTACTGCCTTTAAGCTGTTCTCATGGGAATCTTACTGACTCTAATTTTCACAGCTTTCTATGCATGTTTTCTTAAACTACAGCATGTGATTATTCAGAAAGACTGTCTAGTTGGTTTAGGGCAGGTGTAGTCAAGAGCTTGAGTTCAAAGAGGTTACTCATCTTTGTCTTTTTATTTTTTTTTTCCCTGAAACAGTTTTGGACCACTTTTTAATTTTATTTGTTCCAGATTTCACTGCAAAACATCTATCAGTATGTGAATGATTAAAAATGCAATAAATTCAAACTTCCAGAAAAAAAACCTTTAGAAACTATCTCAATTAAGGCTCAAGTTATTAAAAGAATAACCTTTAATTTTTGAAGTATTTTGGAATCCTTGGACAAAACTTACTTTTGAGGTCAATCTCAAAAGAAGAACAGATTGAAAATGATTCCTAAATTCACAAACCAAACATGACTTCCCTAAACAAATTGAGAATAGATCTAATCCCAGCAGAGTTAAAAAGGAGGCTGTTGCTTTCTTATTGAATTACAAGAGAATGTCCTTCCTCTTCCATCTGGTCTAGCCGTGGGTTATTCCAGTTAAAATTTGCACAAGACACTTCGATAACAGGATAAAACCACCATCAAAAACGTAAGTGGTTCAGTGTTCTAATGACAACCATTAGAAATGGCAATTTTCCCCTCTTAAATACTTTAGAGGGCTTAATGCTCTCTGTGCTCTGCAAAAAAAAGAAATTATGTTTGTGCTCCAAAGCCAGGGTGGATGATACTTTGATTTTTTCTATTACCACTGTGTTCTGCAAAAAAAAATCTGCTTTAGTCATTTAACTTCCTGGGAAGAAATTGGCAAACTTAAAGAAAAGTGGGCACTGCTCACTTCATCTACCTCTTCTACATTCTGACAGCACACCTCACTTCAGCCTTTCCACCTGAGAAAGAAAACAGTAGTGCTAGGTCTGAGATTGGGAAAAATAGTGTCAGTATCTATTTTTGTTACAAGTTAAAAGGGAATTGTACGGGTGCTTAGTTTAGATATGTTTTATCCGCCTTCATTAACTGTGTCTATTGATAGAAGGAACACAGGTGAGGTGACTTGCTGGGGCTCAGGGCAGGGCTGGTACAGAGTGCACTATGCCGTACCCAGGCTGTTCATGGGCAGGTGGAGATCCAGGCCCCACCTGTGCACAAGGCAGCATAGACGGTAGCATGGGCTGCCCCTCATCACCACTGCGTGGGTTACCTGTTTCTTCATCTTGCAGATATTGGAAGTTGTGGATGTGGTTAAGGCTGAAACACGGTAAAGGGTGTGGTTTATGGTAAAGCTCCCTTTTGTCTTGCTCACTTAATCATAGAATCATTGAACCATGGAATCATAGAATCATAGAATGATCGGGGTTGAAAGGGACCTCAAAAGATCATCTAGTCCAGCCCCCCTGCCAGAGCAGGATCACCTACAGTAGGTCACACAGGAACGCATCCAGGTGGGTTTTGAATATCTCCAGAGAAGGAGACTCCACAACCTCTCTGGGCAGCCTGTGCCAGGGCTCTGTCACCCTCACAGTAAAGAAATTTCTCCTCATGTTGAGGTGGAACTTCTGTGTTCTAACCCATTATTTCTCGTTCTAATGCTGAGCACCACTGAAAGAGATTGTGTCCTTCCTTTGAATCTCTTATCAGTAAACATTGAAGTTGCTAGGACTTGATAACTACTCCAAAGACTTTGTCTTGGTTTGTTATTTTTCCCCTTTCTAGCTCCCCATGTTACAGATACCCAAACCCAAAACAACAGAAAAATTCCTTAAGGTACATGTTTAATAGAGATGGCCGAGGCCACCTGTGCGAAGGAGCTGACTTAGGGGTTTTTTGAGAAATTGTATATCAAATTTGTGTTGTAATGTTGTGTGGTTGTGGTTATGTTTGTCCAGCTATTGATATGTGCATTCTTTACTTCAAGCTCTTGACTGCTTGCCCCTCTCAGTGACCTTTGCAGCACCCATGTTAGCCCCACTGATTTAAGTAAAATCAGTGCTGAATAGGGTGACTCTTAATGAACTGCTTCCAATTCTGCTGAATCATGGTCTTAACATGTGAGCCATGGTGAGTGTAAGCATAAGAGAGGCTTCAAATCGGCTTTGCTATTCCCAAGCATTTTCTAAACCCTATGATGCTCTGCCTTTTTTTTCATCAGTGTGTGCTCACTTAAATTAGAGTGATAGCAATGGTTCAAAAGCCCTCTTCAAGAAGATAGTATGTAATGTTCTTACCAGAGAATAGGTTGCCTCTTCTTCTCAGTACGTGATGAGAAAGCTACCAGAAGATTTTATGATCTGTATTTTTCCTTATATTATAAACTGCTTAGACTCCACTATCCATCTTGTCACTTTCCTCTTTTAAATCTGCTTTTTCAGAATAAGTTTTATAAAAAAAGAAAGCAGCCATAATCTCATTAACACAGTAGTGCTTTTGATTGTTTATCTGTTGTACACTGAAGCTCTTTCATCCTTTCATCCTGCTTAAGATATCAGTGCAGTTTAAGTTGTGATTGGGATATTGTATAGATGTGCGTCTAGTTTTGCTTCTGATTAAAGGCTGTTTTCCAAGGGTTTGTAGGATGTAAGAATTAAAACCTTTTTCACCTTACACTTCTTTCCTTCCCTTTGGAAAAAAATTTGCATGCCTACTCAGCCTTTCAGTGAGAAGATCTCTGGTCAGAGAAAACTGGAAACTGCTTTTCCAGCAAAAGGTGAACCATTTACTCATTCTTTTGTGAGTGCATGGAAGGTAAGAAGGCTGCAAACGTGTTCTGGCAAAGTAATGGAATTGGAAGTCCGAGGCACCCCTGGCTGTGCCTCTCAAGGTCACCACAGGAGCCACACCTCTTAGAGCCTTCCTTCAAAAGGCAACCGAAAAAATTGCTGTTTTCTGAAGTTTCATTCCCCATGATGCCTCCCTTACAGCATTCACACTGTTCCAAGGCTTTTTGTATAGAGTGATTCTTGCAGTGTGGAATAAGTCACAGCCAGGAACAGATTGCAGGAGTAAATTTGGAGAGTTATGAAATTTTCATCCTCTTGGTGGGCTCAAGGTCCATCTAGCTCACCTGATGGCTGGGGATCAGTATCTAGCAGATGTAAGAGCACTCCACGGGAGTCAGAGGTTCTCTCAGGTACCCCAGTGGTTAGTCTGAAGGCGCATGGATGGTGACAGAACAAAAAGTTTATTTCAGATCTGCAGAAGTCACTGATTGCCTGTTACCGCAATAATGAGTGCATCCTTGGCAGTGGCACCTTGGACTTACCTTAAAAAGCTCCCAGGCCGAGGTGGTCTTTTCAAGAGAACTGAGTCCCTGGACTTTCTCAGGCCAGACTGACTTCATGTAGCTCTGGGCTTTTGTGTTTAACATTGTCCTGTAGGGTAGTTGTATGGGGGTCTGCTGATAATGAAGCCTCAACTCCCTGAGCTTGGACTAGACCTCTGGTTTCAGAGTACAAAGCAGGTCATTCCTTGTGCTCCCTGTAGTCAGTGGAGAGATGCAGAAGCAGGCAGAGGGTATCTCTGTCTTAAGACACGTGCCCAAAATAAGCGTGCCAAAAGTTTTCGTCCCTGTCTTTCCATGTGGACTGAAAGAGCCTTGACAGCTTTGGCCAGAAGATGACTAAAATTAGAGAGGTGCTGAATCCTCCAGAATTAGTCCTGCAGGGGGCTTGCGGTGAGCCGGGGTACTCCTTGTCCAGCACACTAATCCCCAGGCTGCATTGGGGCATCCATTTCCGAGACAAGACAGTCATCCTGTGCGGGAAGGAGCCTTAAAATCCAGCTGAAAGACTGCCTGAGGAGACATAAGTGCACTCTAAGGCTAATGAGTGTGACTGGCTTCTGACAACTCATCCAGAAGTGGAAAATGGGGTGTACTTTGCAAAGATAAGCCCTACAGGGAAGGAGATTGCGTTTCCCAGCCTGGGCATATGCCAAAAAGGAAGCGAGGCTACGAGGAAGAGACTTGCTGCCGGAGCTGGGACAAGGCTTGGTGCCGATGTGCGTTTCTGATCAGTATGTGGGAGCTAGCAGTTTCAGTCCATGGGTGGTATCGTGGTGTCCAGCAAGACAAAGCTGTAACCGTGGTGAAAGGCTGCAAATCAGACTGCACTTGGTGGAAACAGTGCACCTTGAGCACCTTGCTGTTACTTGATGCCTTAATCCATTTACATGGCTGTATGCTGACTGTGCTAATCAGCTCACAGCAGAAGAGCTGATAAAAAGTATATTCTTATGTATTTATTTCTCTAATAATATTTATTTCTCTGATATTAATTTCTCTAATACGTATTTATTTCTCTAATTTCTCTAAATTTTTTTCTCTAATATTTCTCTAATTTTATGTATTTATTTCTCTAATATTTTATCCAGTTACAAGAAGAGTTGGCCTTTATGATCTCATATTTTATGAGGTCATGTGCTAGTTTTGCCTGCTCTGAGTTTTGAGGTATAACTATAGGTATTCCTCCATCAATAAATAATACTCTTTTTTCCAGTTGCATCTAATCAAGGTTACAGAAAACTTACCTGTAGCCCAGCAAAAAATGTTTACAGCTGTCGCCTCACAAAAGCAAATCTGCAATAGCAGCTGCCAGAACAGGGTTCTCTAGGATCTGGTTCTCTCTTTTAGAATAATACATGATAAAGACAATCTGCAAGAAAACACTGAAGTCTGTTGTTCACTCAGTTACATTTCAGGGGTATGTCAAGAAAATGTTGAAGCATTTAGCAATATTCCTGCTTTTGTTGTGTTCCAGGAACATCTGAAGCTATGCTCAACTTTTACCACTATGTTTTTATTTATTTTATTTCATTCAGCAATTTTATGGCAGCCAACCAAAAGCTGCGGTTGTCTCTTAGTTGTATCAGAAAGGAGGGCTTTGCAATCCAGTGTGAATAAATAGGATTTTGTTGATGACTGTTTAAATACTCATTGACCTGCTGGTATTTAGCCTAAAAATTTTATGTAGAAAATAAAAGCAATACAAGTGAATCTTTAAAACCTGTATTAAAAGTGTAATATTGAACTTTAAAAAGGTGATGGTTACTGAATGATCAGCCATGACTTTTGAATCTCCTTACCATGTAGGGGAAGGAGAAGAAAGTCTGTAACAGGTTATGTTTCTCATTACCTGTGACAACTTCAGTACAAAATGTTTTGCATCTTAACTACGCCTGCTGACTGTTGAGATAGAGTTTATGTTTGTTTTTTTGTTTTTTGGTTTCTGCTTGTTTTTTGGGTTTGCTTGATTTTTTAGTATTGTGAAACAATCTGGAGAGACCTGGGCCTCTTCCACTCACTATGCAAGGCAGGAGTTACCCATTGAAATACTGCAGCAAGTAAAGCATCAGTTACATTCAACCTGCTCTGTTCATGTTATGGCCCTAGGGGGGTCTGATGGAGTTTCTATATTATGAGTTTTCCTCCCTCCTGTTCCAGTTTCTCACATTATTGCCAGCCCTGGTGCTTCTGAAGCTGTGGATGAAGGCTTATGTTTAACAGAATTTGAAAAGAAGATTGATGTTCCGGACTCTTATTATGGACCACGACTCTCATTCCCCCTTACTGTTGAAGATGCCAATGCTCTTCTTCATGCTTTCAGGAATGAACAGGTAAGTTGCACCTAGTTTGATTTCATTTATTTTACATCTCTATTGAGTTGTAGCTCCACAATCAGTTGAATCCCCTGTAAGGCTAAGCTGGTGCCCAAGGAGGTGTTTTCACCCTTTCTTTCCATCCCATTACCCTTTCCTGGTAGCCTCATGTGATCACAGAGGTACATGGTGAGCTGTCCCGAGAAGGCGATCTGGCTAGAAGCTAAGACAACAAATTCAAGAGCAGTCAGTCCTCAGCCAGATCAGTTCTCAGATCTGATTCACTGTGTGACCACCAGAGCCAGCACCGGGGAGAGGCAGGGGCTAGTGGGGACCTAGCACTGAGATTGCAGCGATGGTGAAAGGGGAACCCTTAGCAGCTGCAAGGCAGAGGTTATCACTGAGGGCACAGGAGTGGGTAAGGTGTCCTAAGATAACCTGGGAAGTAGTTACCTTGTGTGGCCCTCTGTTTTTTGTCCCACACCTCATTTGTTTTAGAGGAATTGAGATTTAAGGGTTAATCACCTCATTCTGGTGTGCAAGATTCCACCATAATGGAAGAGTGAATATAACGCATCACTAATGTGGCAGAACAAGGCAACAGCACAAATCTCAGAAGCTTGTTGTCTGTGGCTGCCAAGGCACTGAGACAGCTGTTACTGATTCTCTCTGTTCCTGAGCAAGCTCCTTTGTTGCCCTCTGACAAGAGGAGGATGGGCAGGGGGATATTACATGGCACATCTTTATTTGAACTTGTGGTCATTTGTGCTAAACAATATACTCTATATAAAGGATAAGGGTCTCTCTTGCACTTTAATTTACTAAATAATGGTAGTATTACTTTTTCTGTAATTTTCTGTGGAGGCCAGTTTTAAAAGTAGGAAATGACAAAGCACATAACAAATGACCCCACATAGACTTCACCTTAGTGCCATCTTTTTCTTCTCTTACTATAGTTGGCATTTTATTAAGGGAATGATTATATATAATTTACCTTTTTTGTTTGTTTTAAAAATATGAGTCCTGAAAAGTCAGTCTGTAGCTTTTGTGTCTCCTCTACCAAGCTTCCTCAGAGCTGTGTTCGAATTAAAAGCCTTAGAAATCACCAACTGACAAAATTTTCACAAAAACCATTAGCAGAGAAGACTAGAAGATTTAATGCTGCATGTCATAACATCTTCACAGAGAACAGGAAGATAACTCTTGCGAAGCCAGCCTTTGCTAGAGTTTCCCTCTCATTATTTTTGCAATTAGGTGAAGTACCATTTATGATCTTCAGGGTTTTTTCAGCTGGTCTGCTTTTATATTTTTCTTTTTTGCTCACAGCTAGAACTATGTCTTTTTATTTTCCACAGTTGCTCTGAACAGATGACCTTACACTATGATGCAGAGTGCTGTATAACTCAGTCTCTTACCCTTTCTGTAGATGGGAAGAGTAGAAGCAGTACACTAGAAATGAAATGGGTAGACCTGTAAAGCAAGTTTAAGGGCTCTCTATCCATTTACTAGGTAGCAGATGCAAAGCTATGAACACTCCTAATGCCCAGCACTAAGCTATGCAGCCTGTAATCATGTCTGGAGGTCTGTAGTATAAATAATCTTGGCAATACATATCTGATATTAATAAAGCAGACAGACATGTTGCTCCTTCTAATAAGTCTTCGTTTTCTCCCTGCACATCGTTCTCACAGATGCTTCATGCCCGCTATGTAATGCAGCTACTGTGTGAAACCAGGAGGGTTCTCAAAGAATTGCCAAATATTACCCGTCTTTCAACTTCGTACTCCAAGGAGATAACTGTCTGTGGTAAGGTGCCAGAAACGATAACCCTTTTGGGCTGTGGGCTGATATTCTAAGTGGCTAGAGAATGATACAGCCATTTCCAAATGTTGCCATTACAAGAATGTTCTCAATGCTTTTTAAAATTTGTTTGTTTGTTTATTTCCCCACAAATGCATGAACTGGAAACAAACAAAAAACATTCCTGAGTCACATTAAGTATATTTTAAGAAAGTCCCTAACCTCCTGTTTCCTTTTCCCATTAAACATTTCTGAATGAGTCAGAATTAATTCAACTAACACTGCAGTGTAGCTTAAATATTCCTTCACTTCCTTCTCTAAAATGCCACCAAGTATTTTGATCACGGGCTGCAAGTCTCACCACTTTCTCCTCTTGCTGAGAAAAAGACTTTATCATCATAATTTACTCAGTAATAATTTTAATGAGGGCTTTATAGGAGTGGCAAACAAGACCTTTCATTGACAGCATGACTATCTAGAATAAATTGAAATTATAATAAACCCTCATTTCTAAAGGGACCCAAGAGGATGGATCAGTCTTTATACAACCACCAAATTAGTCTCACAGAATGATACGATGTGTCACAAACTAACGAACTAAGTGCTCATTGCCCTTCTATTTTGTTACGCTTTGTAAATTATGAATAAAGGGATGCAGTATCCTGACTCATCATAGAACGCAGTAGCTGCAAAACAGTAATGGTGTCATTAACTCTTGACAGCGAGCAGTGTGTGCTGTGTGTAGTAGTAAAGTGGTATGACGAAGGGTACTATGACACATGCACAGCAAATCATGCTTCTTTAGATGTGGTTATGCGCCTACTTTGATTGCTAGGAAAGGGTTTGTGTAAATGAGGTTTTGTATAAACAATAATTTGTTAATCAGACCAACAAAACCTCTTTCCAAACCAAGGAAGCACAGATTCATACTTATTTGCTACATGGCACGTTCCTACTATGAAAAATGTTCTTCCTCATATTTGGATTGCATTTGCACTATGTAAGTGGCAACTAAAGTGGTCCCTTTCCTGCCATTGAAACTAATAGCTTTTGTAACCAGAAAGATGCTGTGCAGATGAAAGACCAATTTTAGACATAATAGATCCAAAATATTGATTTCTCTAAAATAGATATCCCTCTCCCCATTTTAATTTGATTTCAAATTAATAATATAGATTAAATATGCACGTGAAATGTTTGCATCCACATATGTGATGAAAATATATCATAGCTTGAAGAATTCCTTAGATTGACTTCAGCAGGCTCGTAATTAATAAAAAGTTGTGCAGAAAACTTGTAGAGAGGGTGAAAATGTCACTTCTCTTTTCCTAGTCATTGGTGATGAAAGCATGTTATCGTAACTTCGGAAACTCTTCTGTAGCTTTGTGGTGGTGAGTCACAGACATGAGAAGATTGGTTCTCTAAGCATAAAATTCTGTCACATACAGGGGGGCTATGCTGCAGTGATCCTTTGTGTTGGAGTGAAAACCCCCCTGCTTGTTCCAAAAGAAACCTTTCCGAAAGGGTCAAATGTGTCATTGTGGCATTAGCACCGAGGCATGGAAGAATGGACAGTTCTTGACATTCTTCATCAAATCCCACCCACAGTAAGCAAAACCTGGCCCTGAACCAGATGGATGTTCAGTTGTGCTGCATACAGTGAGCTACTTTGTAAATATAAACCTGGTAGTATTCAGAAGTCAATCACGTTTCTAAATGTCTTTTAGCGACTTTTCCTGGTTTTCATGTTCATAATATTTTTGTTCATCTTACTCTCATTTCACTGAGTGAAGTTTTGGTGCGTGGCTGGTCTGATTTTAAGATTCAGCTGGAAAGACAAAAACTTTAAACAAGACAATTGTATACTCTTCTAAGTATTTAATTGCCAGAGTTCACAAGAAGTTACAGCATATACCTTAAAACGAAACTAATCATAATACAAGGCAAATTACTAAGGAACACTTGCTAGGACTAACTAATTGCGGTTCTATAATTCCATTTTTTTAGCTTCTCTGTGAGATTATTTTTTTTTAAGAAGATCATTTCTTTTTTTCCTGTAGGAGATTTGCATGGAAACCTGGATGATCTTTTACTGATATTCTACAAGGTAAGTAGGTAAACTGTGATGTAGCATTTTCACTTCATGACTTGTTAAGAACATGTATTTATGTCTGATAGATTTATCACTGTTAGAACTGTGTGTGTGGTGAGCATATACCACACACACAAATCCTGGAACAATGTGATGATGTCTTTGTCATAGCTTTTCCTTTTCCATATCCTCCTGCTGACCATGAAGAAGGAGATCCAGGAGACCTTTCTATTCTCAAATGTTGAACTGGAGCATGAACCAAAACTTCAGGGCTTCCTTGAAATGTCTCCAAAGTGCTGCCACTGTTTTGTATTCTGTATTGACTAAAGTTGTCTAAAATCAGGAGCTAACTTAGTTTCTGATTTAACACTACACCATGGATAATTTTGGCTCTCCAGAAAAAAAACGCAGAAGCTATCATTTAGACATTGATACCTGCAAAGTTTTTTGTAATTATTATTTGCTTAAAGGAGCCAAAAAAGAGTACTGTTTAAAAGCTTTTTAAGTCCTGGAAGCAATCATGTAGTCTGCACAAAATGGAAATACCTTGGGCAGGCTTTACATATCCTTGAAGAGCTGATCACTTTTTAACCTTAAAAAAGCATAGCTCTCTTTTACTGATATGAAAAAAAGTAAGCTCCAGGCTATCTTTTCCACAATTGTATATTAACTGAAGATGTGGGAAATTTCCTATATTTAGTTTCACATTTTTCTTTAGCATGAATCACCACCTTTCATTTAGCAGCTATTCGCATTGAATTGAGCTTTCTGGGGGGGGAAAGGAATTGTGTCTAATCCGTACACATTCATCTGCACTGAGTGGAGACTGAAGTGAGCTAAAGCAGGTGTTTAAATGATGTAATTCCTCCCCTGCTTTCAATTTTGTTACAGTTCAGCTGACACTTGTTGAAAGGAAACTTGTTTTGCCCAAGTGCACACCTGAAGCATGCTGAAATATAATCAGACTTTTGCAGAGTTCTGCTTTTCTTATTAATCAATCATTTAAGTTTAGCTGGTGCTTGGCTTGCAGTCTTTTAGCTGTTATTTTAATTAGACAATTTTCCTTTCTGAAACGGGAGTAAGACTGTGGTACAGATTGGTGTCATACACAGGACCTGGCATGAGAAAAAGAACTATTTTGAAGATAAATGTTCAAACACAGTTAAATTTACAACTGCAATCAGCCTGAATTTTACTCTTCTGGAGTAGACAGATAGGATTATTTTTGCCCTCTGTAGTGGATTCTACAATGAGAAGAAAGCTCTAAGCAAGGACTAAATCCTGACTTCAGTAAATTCAGAACCAAAACTCCCACTGACTTCAGGGACTAGAGTTTACCCCAGTCATTCTGTTAAGCTTCTTTGGGGAGTCCTTCCACCAAACTGAATAAAATGGACAAATATTTTGTCATTTCAAAGTGGTTGAGAAAACAGAGAGCACGGGATAGAGCTGCTTAGTTATTTAGGAGCAAATGAGATAGCAGAGTAATTAATGTCCCCTCTGAGCAGTTTACTCAGCCGAGCAGCGAACCCAAGTCAGCCGCTGGGATCCATTTTTTTCTGCTTCCCTAGCCCTGTTCCAGTTGGAAAGGATTTCTTCCCCTGACTTGGCATGAGCCACCCGTAACCTTAAGCAAGAGGGTGCAATCCCAAAAGTGCCGTGAGGAGTGTAAGTGATCTCAGGCCTGCGCAGAGCTGACATGGCTCCTGGGGTGTTTTGGAGGCCTCCGTGCAGACTCAGCGCCTTGAGTGTGAGGCTCTGTCCAGGGAACTTTTATCATGGCACTTCTACAAACTACAAACAGCAAACATAGAGAAGTCAGCAACCTACAGTTTATTGATACAATGCTGGCTGCAACAGTGTGCAATTCTTAAACCTGATTTGGGCAAGGCTAGGGTAATTACTTGTTTTCTCAATTGCCAGTTTGTAAGTCCCCACAATAATCTCCATTAAACTACGTCATTTCCTGAAATTCATCGAAACCTTTGAATTTTAAATTACGTGTTGCAAAGTTAGATTGTTAAATGGATGCTGTGGACAGAAGTAGCCCGAAGCTGTAGGAAATGCAAATGATGAACAGAAGTTAATTAATCACTAACCCAGCAGATACAGTAATGATGCCCAGCAGCAAGTGGCTAATCATCAGAGTGCTTTGCTCACCTCTGACATGTCAGAGGCTGCAACAGCCTTTAATTTCATTTTGCTCTTATTGTTGTTCAAAACCAGAGAGAAGAGAATAAGAACTTTGCATTGAGTGTAAAACAAAACTAAAATGTCACATTGAAGTTCAAAACAAACTCTCATTCAAAACTAAGAGTCGTCGCTAAGTTTTTTGAAACAAGAATTACGGAGTTTGGAGAGTGCTTCAGTAGGTCTGCTTTTCCACGAGGACTGCAGTTACAGAGCAGCTGCAGGTGTACTGACAGCCTGCCAGTGATTAACATGCCTATTGGTTTTAAGGCAAAGCTTTTACTAATTCATCTTCCCAGGAGCTACTTCTGAGGATCTCCTGTCTGTTCCACTCCTGAAATCCCTCTCTTCTTCCTTAACACCAGTACGACTCACTGCATTATCTGAGTCTCATAAGCGTCACTGTTGTGAGCACAGAGCAACTACGGGCCTTTTCCAAGGTAACTTGGAGAGAGCTGGGCAGAGGCTGTGGCCAAACTTACGCAAACTGTATTTACAGCAGTAGGATTGTGCCACTGTGAGAATCAAGGGACCAGGATTCAGTACTATGTGCCGACATAACAGCACGGGACACCGGTTGGGACAGAGAAAATATTTCCAAAAGGATTCAAGTCAAACGTTTGAGTCCCTGACCAAATGATGCATCCTGCAATAAACCTGCTAAGGGGAAATGCCACAGGACACGAGAAATGCTGGACGCTGAAGCAGTAGCTATATTCAGGAAGCGGGATGTCCTCCAATACTGCCAAACCAAGTGATTTTATAGATATCCTATTAATAATGCTTGTGCATGTCAACTGATATTTCATTTTTCTGGCAAGTCAAAAAAGAAATAATATTTCTGATACTAATGATTGGAAATGATGAGGCTAGACGTAGCTGCTGCTATACTTCCTGTAAGCTGATGGCACCCACTGATGTGTGAATAACTAATCTAATGAAACATACCATCAGTTCACAATACTAGCTTTTGATAATTCACCATTCATAATAGAGCATTGCTCTGTATCTTCAGAAAAAAATAAGTTAAGAAATACCTGTATGTACATCCTCTCAGGTCTGTGAGCATTCAAATATATGTTTGCCCTGGGTGGGGTGCAAAGTGCAATGTGAATAAAATTCAAGTAGTGCTTTCAGGATTAAAGCAACTGGAAAAAAGTTCTTCAGAGTTCTGTATCAAAATTTTATGTCCTCTGGACTATAGTCTTTCTCAGGAGTTTTGGAAGCATGCACTGCAAACAAAGTAAATATATGAAATCCATTTTCTTACTGTGTAAAGAAATGTGAGAACCTTCAGATTTGTGTCAAGAGATAATTTTGCATGGATTTCTTGTCCTCCATTCAAAATTAATGACCACTTCTATTTGGAAGTGCATAACTTTCTGGCAGCAGTTGCATTAACAAAAAAGCATATTTTATTACAAGAATAATGTTCGTCGTGGTCCCATTCCATTTAATTTAACAGGTGGAGGAAACGATTCAAGATGGCATCGTAAGAACAGCTAGAGAGGTCATCTCTGATGGCTCATACAGTTTGGCTGATAGGGAAGTTTTGTTCTAAGTGGTGAAAATAAAGAAATGCTGCATTTTAGGTTATACAGGGTTTTTTTCATATTTTCTAACAATGTGATCACATTTAAATGCTATTTCCTTTATTACAGTAGCATAGCAGTGTCTCTAAATGTACTTGGTTTTGTTTCTTTCTGCAGAATGGTCTGCCTTCAGAACAAAACTGTTACGTCTTTAATGGTGATTTTGTTGACAGAGGAAAAAATTCTATGGAAATACTTATAATCCTGTTTGCATTTCTTCTTATCTACCCCAACAATTTACACTTGAATAGAGGAAACCATGAAGACTACATCATGAACATGAGGTAGATTTTAAGGGTGGGGAGGCAATATCTGGCCTTCACTAGAAGTGTTGGAGCTTTTCAATGCTACTTTAGCCACTGTGACAGCCTAAAACAGAAATAATGTTTTATTAGGTATTCAGGTGTAGCTTTGCATCTTCAAGATGTGTGAGGGGGTCAACGAACATCCTCATTGCATGGGAGTCGTGTCTTGTCTCTGACCTAATCACAATCCGTTGGAGTCAGTGGGCTTAGTGCAGCTTCCAGGGTATCAAATATGAGGAAGGGGGACAGGCAGAAGGATGATATTTTAGTTAAAGCATTGGCTTTTTCTGTAGTATAGCAAAAAGCATGGCAGTGTGCAGTATAAGGAAACCGGTACACCAGGAATTGATATTCCGCTTGACTTTAGGCTAAGATGTCACTTCCCAAACATGGGAGACAGGTCAATATCCTGGCTTCTACCCGGTGGGGGGCCGTTAGTTGAGAGGTGTCAGTCTGTCCCACTGCAGGAACAGCTGACACCCTATTCACTAATACAGATGTTTGTGCTCAGCTCTACAGCACTGCCAAGGGTGTGAGCACAGCCAGCATCTCTGGCTGTAGTGAAAGCATGACTTGTAGACAAAGTCATCTCACAGACATGAGAACTCAGTCCTAATCCTTACAATTCTAAGCCAACTTTCCTGGGTTAGAGGCCCATGTTCAAACCCTATTCTGATTCATGTAAAAGAATCATGACAGACAACATTGTCTAATAAAGACAGGTGATTTAGGACAAAAACTCCATGGAGGTTTTGTGGGACTTTTTGCCCATCATCAGTTAGGTTCCTTTGAAATTTCTCTCCAGTATCTAAAAGGTAATTGCTAAACCATTTTATTTAGATGGGAAAAAGGCCACTTAATAATTATTAGTGTGGATTCTGTTCCTGATCAAGAACAGTTTAACTCAATTCTTGAGATAGAGTAGAAGAAATCACATTTAAACTGAGATGACACAATGGTGGGAGAAAAAGAGGGCTAGAAAACTCCTGGCAAACACTGTAGTGCAGAAAATCCTGCAGAAGGGGGATCCTGAAAACTCATTCATGATGCTGTCCTATTTTCAGATACGGTTTCACAAAAGAAGTCTGGAAGAAGTACAAGGTAAGATTCCTCCTCCTTCCTCTATACTGTCTTTGTGGTCTTGCACATATAGAATGAAACCTGTGTAAACAAGAAACCTTCCAACCAGTTTATTTGTGTGTAGTACAGAATTACTTTGTTAATGTAGTTGAAATTATTTTGGAATAACTGTCAAAACAATTTGAAGTGTTAGCTTTTTATACTGAGAGATCAATGGGACGAAATAAATAACAACCGTAAGGCCACAGAAGAACACAAAAAGAGGTAAATGTGGAAGAAAAATGAAATGCTGCAGAGACAGTGAAACAGCCCTAAAGTAAATGTCAGAACATGTTAGTCAGTGTTGCAGTTTGGGATGTCACTTGAACTTCTGTTCCTGCAGACTGTGACGGTCACTTCAGCAAAATCTTAAACTTAGAAGCAGCAGAATCTGCCAGAAATAAGTTCTAATATAAGAGTATGTTTTACAGGACTACAGCAAACAAATTTTGTGTCTTCTACAAGATGTCTTTAGCTGGCTTCCTCTCGCTACTATAATTGATAGCAAAGTTCTTATCCTACATGGAGGGATTTCAAACACCACGGATTTGGATTTACTGAATGCACTTGAGAGAAATAAGGTAAGAGATCACATTCCTGTGGGAGTAATTTGGTTTTCTTTAAAGAAATGCAGCAGTACAAATGCTAAAATCGAGTTGTTTGCATAGGAGAGGAAATGGCTGCTGTTTAAGGCACATAAGGTAAAAATGAGTCTTGTTTTTCTTCAGAATGAGTGTTTAGGAAGGAAGGTTTCAGTAGGTGTTGGGAGCCAATTGTTTGGCTGCTGTAGATGCCTCCTTCCTGCAGTGATGATGCATTAGCCGGAAAGAATGAAAAGTACTTAATTCTCAGGCATTTCTAAACACTTTAGGAATCAATCTAGCCACATCATTCTAGCACTGCCTTTTGTCCCGGGGCTGTGCTCCTGCCATCTATTGTGTGTGGGCCGTTCTCCACCTGTGAGGCATTCCCTTGGCAGCAGCTGAGCTTTGCATTTGTGGAAAGCCTTCCCAGCAGGATCAAACTTCAAGACCCGATCTTGAGAAAATAGAAACTATTGCTTTCGAGGGATTTAGAAGACAGAAACATTTATTTTGTTCTGAAACGGTGAGCAAACACAGCTCTTGCAAATCGCTGGAAAACTGTGGGATTTGGACAGCCAAACTGAGATGTCTGCTTGTGACTGAGGTGCTGAGACTCATCATAACTGATGGAGATCCAGGAGATCTGGTCGAGAACCAGGCCTTACCGTTGCTCAGGCATAGGTCTCCAGTGTTGTTCATGGAAGCACCTCACAGACTACGGATGTTCCCTCTGGCCTCTGCCTGCCTCTTCTTCACACATCTCCTCCACTGGTCTCCCTTAGGTCTGATTTGTATCTACCCACCTCGTGCTAATGCCTAGATATGGTAGAGCATCCCAGATGGCACGGGATACCGATGCTTAAGCAGCCTTGCATACCCTGTCATTAGTGTCTGTGGAATCTAGAGCTATTTCTCTCATCTTCATGTTTTCTAATAATGAAGAGATAAATGCTCTACGGGACAGTTAGGTGTATCTCTTTCTTAAAGATGTGAAAAAGGACAATGAATACTTCTGGACATTGGAGTCTAGGCTGCATTGGCTGTTACAGCGTATGCTTAAATTGGATGCCTAAATACAGAGGTAGGTGTTTTAACTGTAAGCTGAGTTCCACCCACGCTTTCACCAAGGCAGGACTCAGCGTGTTACTGATGCATTATCTGTGAAATGCAGAAGTAACAGGTCAAAGTTGCTGTCACAGGAGAGCGTCTCTAGTGAGACACATGTGGGCCACAACTCAGGGTGACAGCACTGAAGGCCAACTGTTTTGTTTTAATTAGCCAGCACCTGAGAGGTCTTGAATACCTGTCAGTGCACAGGGGGAAATAACGCAGTGGTTTGCATTTTGATTTGCATCGGTTCTTTTCTTCAGTAAAGAATAGAAT